CCCATACAGTCACCCCTCCTTATAGTCACTGGTTTTGGTCATTCCCGAGGGTGTGACTGTATGGGAGGTCGACTGTATTATCTTGTTCAGTGTGAATTTTTAAGACAGCGCGCGAATTTTATACAGCACGACAGACAGCAATTTACGAAAAATATGTAAGCTGTCATTTCTTGCGTTCCCTGTCTTCCACTTTAGTAATGTGTTTACACAATAGGATGCAAATCGTATTATAAAGAGACATTACGTACATTTAAAATCTGATATTAATATGGTTGATAGGGATATCGATATTAGAGAGGGTTCACTGTATTACTATTTCCAAGCAACTCGACTAGTTCCTTGATCAATTAATAAAGTCATTCTTTTTGAGAACTAAATTGGGCGAGCATGATTCGCAATTGGCGTCTGGAAATAGTATAAATTGAAGCTTGTGCGCTATATCTGTACCACTTTAATTCTTGCTTATGACCACTCTCGATGGTTTCAATCAATGAAGACTTCAGGCCGTTTATTGTTTATCGAACCCGCAAAACCTTTTTTCGGTGGATATAAAAAATCTATAGCGTAGACGCAGACTAGTAAAAAAGGCGAGAAGCTTGAGTAAAGTGCTTACAATGTCCTGTGGTTTATTTACGGGATTTGTATTTGTGCCTTCTGAAAAAAGTCAACTGACTCCATGGCCGATAAGCGCTACAACACTAACTCTCAATATGATAATCTTGTTTCCAACATATAAATGGAGCAGATTCAGTCTTGTTTCATCGATATGGGCGCTTATCGGTAGCGTTTTGTCTCTGTGGCGTGTATTTGCTGCAAAGCAAAACCCAATGGCCATAGCACACAGCATACCTTGCAGCTTGCCTTTGACGATTGGAGCTATCATTATCAGACTCACCCTTGAAGATGGAACTAAAGGCTTTAAACAGAGGTGGAAAACCTTTCTTGCGGTGGCAAGTGGGAAAAGCCCAGAGTATACATTATTGGAATTGGATAAACGAACCAATGAATCGGAAAATGTACGCAGAGTATATCATCGGATTGAAGAAATATCGAGACTATTGGCATTATTTGTTGATTTTATAGCAATGACATACGGTCTAATGCGTGTATGGTCATGGTGGTATCCGTTTGATGCTATAACTGATACCATGTGTTTAGCTACTTTTCCAAGAAATTTCCGGCCCTCCTGCGAATCGAACACAAATGGATTTATCATCAATGACTGGAACGCGGCCGAGATTTCCGAGAATTGCATTCAATTCCAACCTGCAGTTGGATGGTTCCTTATTATTGTATATACAGCAATTTATGTAACAACTTTCATTGGAGTGGTTTTAATGCGCGGTTATTTTGTTTGGACAATCGGCTCTATAGGAGCCGCCATATTGATAATTTTGTCTGGAGTGCAGGCAACGTATTCTACGCAAACGTTGTGTGTTGAATTCGTCGCAATCTTGATGAAGTCATCATTAGAACCTTCGATTCTCAGTAATCTAAGTTTAATTACTTTATGGTGGCATCGGTTTGGTGCGGGACAATGGCTTGTGCACTTGTTCACCATTCATGCATGAATGATTAATGTAATATATGACCTCACCCCTTTATTTAAATTTAGTGGCATTAAAATTGGTTGATAAATGTCTTTTAGCATTTTGACGTCAATCCTGCAGATAGGTGATATGCAAAACGATGGTCGTTAATTCACAGATCAGCGCAACGGCAACCAATAGTAATAGACTTTAATATAAGCTATTGATTAAGTGACGTCAATACAAGGTCACTAAATGAAAGTCGAGAACTTCTTTTATACACAAAAGTCAGAGAACAAGTCTAATTGTCTTCCAACTCAACGAGCGCTGGAGTGTTGCACAGATCGAAATAATTTGGTAACGACACCCAATCATACTTTAGTAAAAATAATCAAAAATATATTGCGTCCTTTCTTTTAAAAAGTAAATGGTGATTAGTGACGGGTCGAAATATCTAAATTCTTAGCCTCTTTCTGGGATCCAAAGCTCAACCAGCAAGAGAAATTAATCCTGCGATTATAAATCCCATTTTCTGGCATACGAAAAATATAATATCCAATGGGAATGAAATCCTTGATAAGTATTTCTGGAACTGGTGGGCTTATCTCATACAAAAAACCATCTAAAAATATCTTAATCGATTTTCTTGGAAAGAATGTTTTCGGTCCAGAACTCTTCTATGCAACCTCTGATTTTGGGACGCTTTAATAGCTGTATTCAAGGACGAAAGATAATTGTTGTGAACGAAACGGGGATGTCTAGTGTGGATTGGCATAAATACAACGATCATCTCAAATCGCTTATTACTTAACAGTTGAACGCAAAGGTACCGAACCGAAAGTCATAAAAGATTATGCCGATTTATGGTATTAAGCAACCATAATTCTCCACTCGAATAGAAATAGGCGATCGGCGCATTGTATGTTTTGACGTATCTTCTCACTGTAAGGGTGGGTAATATGACGTATTTAAACGTTTAGCCAAAATTCTAGAACACCCCGACGCACCAAGTGTGGTTATGTCTTATCTACTTAGTCTCAATATCCTCAGATTTGGAGTTCACAAGATATTCCTAGCACAAAAATGTAATACGTGAACAACTACCAAATTCCTATAATTGATCATATTTCGTCATGGAATGAAGACCGAATCGATAAAAAGTTTATATCAGGTATACCGTACATGGTGCGAAGCTAATGGCGAAAAACCATTCAGCAGTACGATTTTTGGAAAAAAAACTCCCACCAATTGGTGTTGAGCAGGTGGCGGAAAAAGAGAATGGCAGTATATCCTTGATCGTTCTAAACAATCGGTGAAATCGATGAATTTTCAGACATCCCGCAAGATAATCCACCCACCGATAATTCGACAGATATTCCGATATTCAACATACCCGAAATTGTGTCGTCTCAATCAGAAAAAGAAACGTCGGATAATACTATAGAGTCAGCTGAGACTATTGAAGGTAGCGATGATCATGACTTAACACGCGTTTCTCCAGTGGTACCACTAGAAAATAGCTTATCTATAAACGACGTTTCTCAACCCAGTAAAACTTGCAACGAAGAAAATACATCCCAACAGAGAAGCGGGAAACCCGTTTAAGAGAATGGGCCATCATGGTGAAGATCCTGACAAATTAACTGATAAGTCCTTATCGGGAGTATCGGGATAGAAGGATAGTTTGATTTTGCAGATCAATTCAAAACGATTTATAGATCTAGCACTGCGATGCTAACAGTTGAAATACACTTTTACAAGCACATACTTTCAGGATCCACGCGACTTTGAAAAGCAGTTTCTTCTCAATTCACGTTTTAGAATTACGCTTTGTTACACAACGACTGTTATAATGAGTTCAATGAGTTTGGCCAGAAATCTACCTTGCGTATTTGATTCTCTTTCGAAGAATATTCAGTTAGCACCATGTGCAACTAAAGAGAATCAAAGATGGCAACATGCGTCTGGTGCAGCAGCAGAAAGTCTAACTAAAATGGCTAAGAATACAATACTTCTGCAACAACAAAATTGTCATCAGCATTTGCAGGAGTAGAACGGCTCCCCATTTGTCAATGTATATGGGGTTTGGTGGCAAAAAGGCTTGGCATGAGTTCCCTGAATCTGAAGTCCTTGTTTCAGCAAATGATGGTATTCTGAAGGATTACCTGGTGAAAGGTCCTGCATATGAATCAAAGCTCCAGCAGCTTCATTCTAGCCAATCTCATGCCTGCAACAGTGGAAACAATCCGACGGCATCGCCAAATCTCCGTTGCAGTTTTTGGGTTTGATGCTGAGTTGTATCCCTGCTGTATTTTTCAAGAAAACTTGCCACTACCACTACAACAACACAAACGGCAACATATCTCTACAAATAAGCATTTTGTTCAGATATGGGGTGAAAGTTATGAGTCTCAATTTGCAATGAAGCTTGGCCCAGAAACGACTTGCATTGTAAGTTGCATCCATTGCTTACTGCAAAGTTTTCCAGATCCTGTATCATTTTATTCAGATGAGTTGGAGAAACAGTTTGTGCGTAATATTAATATAGCAAAACCCATGTATCTAGATGCTCTTGGTGTGAATAATGTTTAATCATGATGTTATAGAAGCAATCATTGAAAATGATGGTGGTGATGATTAGAGGGCCATAGTTGTTGATATTTCCAAATTGGATATTATTACCACCCAACTAATCCTTGTGCTAAAAAATTAGCTATGCATTACAGACTTTTCTGGGATATTCATGAAAAATTGTGACAGATTAAGATTAATAATGTGTAAACTCAAACCCCCCCCCCCCCTAGTATTAGTATTATGATTTTAGCCTGAATAAATACTATGATTCGAATTACTCTGTAATGAAACTGAATTTGCATAACATTGGACTCAAATCCTAAAAGTGAATTTTTTGAAACGTCAGAAGCAAAGCTATAATTATTACCTAATTTTACTTGAAAACGAGAAGGTATTTTATCGACCACCAGAGAATTTCAGCAAACAATGCTTTACTTTTTGTATTTGTAAAATCGTTATTTATCTAGTTCTAATGGAGCGTCCCAACCCAAACGAACATAGAGAGGATCCTCTTTCGCTCTAGTCAAGTCAATTACAATGAACTGCCGACGTTGCAAATTCTTATCGATTATATCAACGGCGTTACGCCATTTTTTTGTATAACGCCTAACAATATCAAACAGTTCATCATGTGTACCGGCCATTAAAGAGTACAATATAATCTAAATTTTTTCTTATTATTTCGGACAGTCGAATGAGATACGTAGGCTTAATTCTTTAGTTCCGTGGTGGATTTAATGCAGTTAAATTTATATTTTTTTTTATAGTAATAGATTGTAATTTCACGTAAACAAATAAAATTACTGTTATATGTTAGTTGCATTTTGCATGAGATAAATTTAAAAATGTAATTTACATAAGTTATAGCTGTGAGTAGTCAAATTGGTTAGTCTTCGACACAGCCTCTTACTTATATCACCTAACAAAATGTTCACTTTGGTTTTGTTGCAGCAACTATCGAATAATTTGAGCAATCAATGATTCTATAATATGTAAGGTTAGGTTTATGTTACTTGTATGTAAAGCATAATATTTTTGAAACCAAATGGTCTCGCGGTCAAAGTGCTATGCCATTCTAGTTTAGTTGTTTGAGCATTTCACAGTAGAATCTCCTTTAGTTAAATTGAGATTTTAAATAATACAGTAATGTCTTGAGCGTACATTTATGTGGCCGAACTTTTATTTTTTGGCACGCTCAGCATCAGCTTTATCAAAGTAATGACACGTTTTATGATATATACAGTCGAACCTCTATAAAAAAACCCTCTATAAAGGAACAACATCTCATAAAGAACATTTTATCACGGGACAATCCTTACCTATTAGTAAATGAATTAGCTCTATAAGAGAGCACCTCTATGATAGAACATAACTTGGCTGTCCCGACTGTGTTCTTTTATGGAGGTTTGACTGTATGTTGTTGTGACAGGACTGCTCGGATTTCTGTGAGTCCGAGCCACGCTTTTCCTTTTTGAGTGTAATGGTCGTCACAAAGAAAAAAAGACGCGTTTTTTCTTATAATTTATAATTCACTTTATTCATCATGAACAATAAAATGTACAAAACTTGGTATTTGTTGCATTCGATAATTGGTGGCGCGCAACGCGCACCTCTAGTCAAATGCCTCTTAGCCGACTATCCAAACGACTTCGCGTTAGGAGGTGGTCTTATTCAGGCGGCAACGGAAAGAAACGGGAAGTTGCCTTTTTCATTAACGACGGGTCCCTTAATACTTACAACGAAGAATTGGTGTTTGTTCATATTAGTGTGTTATATCTCCAAGCAATCGATATTATGCTAATAACAATAGGGAGATTTTTCGTGTTAAAGATTACTTTCGATGGAGATCTAGGCGCTTTTACAATAAGTAACAAGCGCAAAATGGGCTTTATTCATGTGACTTTAACAACCATAACTGTCGATTACTTATGCTCCGTCTGAGGACCTTGTGTCTGGTCATTCGGCAGCGACGGCGGTAATGACCGCATATACACCCAACTCAAACCTCGGATTTAATAATCGTAGTTTCTCTAGGCATCTCCTCACCCAATTTGGTGAAATGAAAATACTAAAGCTATAAACTATGCATGGCCTTGGCCTTATCGTCGTTGAACGAGCAATGGGGTCGATTCCAAGCGTAGACGCTAGGGTTTTAGTAGACGCTAGGGTTCTAGTAGACGCTAGGGTTCTAGTAGACGCTATTCAAGTCATTTCTAGATTAATTAATAATTATTACAAAGCCCTTGAACAACAGCTTCTGGCTTATAATTAATTTAATATTGTCCTTTAGATATTGGTAGAACCGTCTATATTGGTTTTAACCCCCTGAAAATCTTCATGTGCTACCGTATTCATCTATCGCTCTTATGATAAGCTTATGTATCACAAAAATAAGCTTTTTGGCAGAGTCATGCTTTGCAGGCACCCGTCCAAAACTTAACAATCGGCAGATCGGTTTCGCTAATGTTCAATTGTTTCAGGAAAAGTTTGGCATTGGTTGTCTCACCCATCGTTGTTCCGGATTTCATATATCGAGAGAATTGCTTGGTCTTACTATTCTCCCGACATTGAAAGAACAGGTAAAGTACTGGATAAGTTATACATGACTGGTGCTTATTGCCACAGAATAAATACAAATGGACAGACAAACCTTGACCATTCCTCTTTGAACACCATCAATCGCATTTCCACAGATTCTGGCCTTGGGTCTAATTCAAATATTCCCGCCAACTGGTCCATAAAAAGCTTTGATGGAGTAGATGCCAGCGCATTGTCTTTTGCATTCGAAGACCCCGACTCGTCCGCCTTTGGCTCATGTTTCCCATGTAACAACTGCATTTTCAATGTTTCATCCGTGTCCATTTGCTCCTCTTTTACGACATGTGATATCCATTAAGGAATTAACCGTGAATAAAATGCAATACAAGTTTCAATATGTTCTTGAAGGATATCTAACAAACAGAGTAATGTCTTGTTCGTTTGTTCGAGAATGTCTGTTGATGTAATTAATCCTAACAAATTACACTTTGATATATCTTGGTACGTCTCAGAGCATTCTATTATACGGCAACACTCTGGAGGCATTAAATCCTAATAAGAGAGGTAAGTGATAATGCAACTAAATTAATAAACCGACTTTTATTGGAACGCCAAGGGCATACATGTAATAGCAATACCTTGACAGTATTTATAAGCTTTTGTATTATGTTCTTATCATGACATCGTATAACGAGTTGATTGCCGATGACAACGTTATACATCATTCGTCTAAAATCTGCCGCCCCCAACATATGTCGTATAGATGCCAAACCGTCTAATTTAAAATCAGTTTCAGCATTCGATACATCTGATGGATAGTCTGTATCCGGTGTCTTATCGGAAATTATTTGTGCCGAATCCAATACCATGGATTTGGGGGGTGGTAACTATAAACAGTGGAATCAAAAGTATAGTCAAACACATCAGTGCCGTCATGCATAAGATCCCCATATTTTATTCTACCAAAAATATTCATACCAGTGTCTTGCCATAGGTTTGCCGTTCTTGTAATCGGTTCCCGCAAGCCTTCAAGATCCAGCTGAAATTGGCATGCAGTTGAACAAACAAGTCCTGGTAATAGATTATACGCAATGGTTTCGTTTAAAACGGCCGCAAGGGTGTTATCGGAAAATCAGATCTCGAGACTCACCTTCGATTCTAACAATTCTGCTAATGGTCTTAGGCTCCTTTTATGATCTATTAAATGGAAAAGGTGATTGATGTAGCCATGAGACAATGAGTAAGGGTTATGGCCAGTAAATTCAGTTGATAGTTTTTACTTAGTTGGCCGAGAGAAAAATTTACCAGTTCTGAATATGGTTAAATCAATAGCTGCCTTCTCCCTCTCGAACACTTGACTCGCCTTGGCTTGAATTCCTGCTGCTAAAACACGGAACCTCCTGTTGTACCAAGTGCGCAATGTAAGTATTCACTGTTGCTCATTCACGTGATCAGCACTTTGATTAAATTACCTTACGAGGAAGGCCCATGATGAAACCAGATATACCCGATCTGTCATCAGGAAGATAAAGCTATAAGATCGCTGTGATCCTCTTGCTTGACTATCGTCTATTTTGAACATGTAGCTCAGCACATAGCCATCCTTTTCGTCTCCAAACAAGGCAGGGCCCTCATTGCCATGACAGAGTTCACAGCTTATACTGTGGATGATCATATTTACGAAGGAAAGGTGAATACGCTCTATATTCTCTTCGACTATCGCAGCAACCCACATTTATTGAATTACAACAAATCACCTGCGAACACACGCCTGTTTTATCACTTCATATAGTCGCTGATTTTGCGGATATCGAGAGCCGATATAGCTTACAAGTGGATTCTCATCATCTATGGTCTTGAATCCTTTAATGTCTGCCTGTCCAGGACTTCTGTCAGTATCAGAAGGAGTCAGAACAAGCGTACAGGAGGGACAGGTGGATACGGATGAGGACACGCTTCCTATGGTAGAGAAGGAGCTTCTCCTATTGAAGGTGCTGGTATCTGTGCTGTAATCAGAATTATTAGGGTAGGATCCTGGGGAAGTCGCCCCACTGCTGACGGAAAAGGAGTCGGTCATATCTTCGGTTGAGTTCGCGTGGAGAGCCTGTGTGCAGAAATTTATACTAGCACCGTCTATCTCGCAAAAGCCCACAAGAGCCACTGCTCCATTCATATTTGGGAGTCTGATCTTAAAGGTAAACACAAGTTTGTATATAAAATGACGGTTGCCTCTTGATTATTTATAACGACTTGGCCAGTTTAAACGCGGCGTAATAAACTATACTCCGATGATTAACATGATTACGTTGATGTATATGTATTGAATGCATAATGAATCCCCAATAATGGTAGTCATCCAAACATTCGGACATTATTATTATTTCAAACAATTGTAACACGTGAGTCGGCACATGAACAATGGTAACCATTAATCATTACTATTTCATTCAGGTCGGCTGACCACGCGATTAATGACGAAAAATTAATTATCCGTGCCGTGTGAAAGATAGCACAGTCTATTTATGATCCATTTTATTGCCATTTAAGCCAGATCGGCAGTCGACTCTTTTCGCTTTATATCCAGGTTTGATTGTTGCTGTCTAACTAACTCCTCTTGATTCGCTTCTGATAAGCTTATTTAATCAATCTTTTTAATTTTGAATAAAAATAATTTACCGGATCGTTACTTGGGACAAAGAATGAAAAATTAATTGCGACTTCTCTGCAGTAACAGAGGGTACTCGCGTCGAAAATAATCAATTCCTTGGGCCAGTAGTAATACCCGGAGCTACAACGTTTCCATTATTACCGGCATTTAGGGGCATTGGAAGCTGAGTCGGTTGGCTGTTCACCTGATGTTATTCAATCTTCATCCCATACTAAATGAGGCGGAACTAATGGCACGCTTGTTATTAGCTGGTGCGATGTCTCGAGTAGTCCAAGCTCTACCTCTAAATCTGGCAATATTAATAGCGCGTATTTGATTATTAGTCAATGCGTTAATAGCGTGAAGATTTGCTACGCCAATATTCGCGGTAATGCTCAATTTTTATTTTTAATCTTGCTTCGTACCAATTTTTCGCATCACCTTCAAGACAATTTTCAAATATTCTCATTCATTCGCATGTTATGTCCGGTACCTGGGTCATAATTAGCGCATTCGCACCATCGGCGAAAATCTCTTCTGGATCTGCTAATCCGCAAAGCTTTGGTAGTTCATATCCTGCCATGTTTTGATTAGGTGGTTGTATATTATTCTGTAAATTCAAATTCTTTGATTTAAAAAATTAATTTGGTCTTCCAATTCTAAATGGAAACAGTAGTAATGGCGATGTATAATCTATCATCTCTAAGTAGAGAAGAGGTTCGAAAGAGTATGGTTGGAACGACTGGCTTGACTTTATCGATTTCAACGAATTCGGACGTCTCTCCATTACTCCATTACTACTAAATCTTTCCCCCGCCCTGCTGACTTTTCTAACTCAGTCAATAACTAGGCTGGAAAACTCAACCCGCCCCTGACAATATCGTCAATTAAATTAACCAGCGTTCATCGTAAAAGTTATTGAGAGCCTCTTGGTGGTAAAGCTAGTAATCTGTGAACTCAAATCCATTCTAATAAGCAGAACTCAATATTTCCAACACATCAAATTAACAAAGATACTTTGCATCTTAATCTAGATTCTATTGTCACTTCGGATAAGCGGGTTAAAAATAGAAAATCAAGATCTAAGTCTGTTCGAATTTCTGATTTACCTAATATTGTTACAGCTAATAAACCAACGAAAAAAGTAGGAGAGTTGAGTGACCTACATGTTTTGATTGAGCAGAATCGCAAAGAAGCTGAGCGTGAAACGAAAAGGATTTTAAATTCCAACTAATCTATCTTTGCTTTCTCTATATCGATATTGGTAATCTTTTCATCTAAGTTATCAGATTCATTTTTATAGCCACTGTGTGACTGCCTTCGGCAAATCCGCAACTTTTTATTGAGTTCGATTAATTTAACATTGGAATCGAGTACTGCATATAGTGATTTTTCTAACTCCTCATAGCTCATGCATTTTTTTTTTATCTCAGAGAAATGGCACTTTGTGCCTAGCACCTTTGGTACCTGCTCCGCTAATGATGAATCATCAGAATCTAGGGACGGAACCCCATTGCTTTGCAATAAGCTAAAACCTGCAGGAGCATGCCATTCCTCCAATGATTTATTATTCCCCCTCATTACTATTGGCATCCTGTGAAATTTGATCGGATACCAAAGGCTTATATTTTTAATGGCCCAGTTGGAAGCAATGAATGGAGGCGAAATAACTGCCAGCCGACGTCTTAAAAAGAAAATGCGGACTAATAAGCGAACGGTTTACTACTGAGATCGCAATACGTCGCTTTATCAGAAAACGTATCTCAACATGTTGGGAATTGATCGCACTCATTTGGAAAACGTCAGAAATCATCTAGCAACGAATGGTATAAGACCGCGCATTCACGGTAACATCAAACGAATGCCGCGATGAAAAACCAAAATAACCATTGATATAACCGTTGCTACTACCGTAAAGAATTTTCTCGAGAGTTATGCTGAAATTCATGGATTACCAAGTCCTGGTAGAAATGTCAATCGCATTACTCAATCACTTCATGGCATCAATTAACGCCATATATTCAAATTATGAGTCCAAGAACGGATTTATGTGACACGTGCCAACATTTTCGGAATGGTTTACAGTATATGCTCGTAAGGAAGAAGAAACAAGATATTTACTGAAAAAATACAAAGAACATTTAGTTAAGGCTAAATTAGAAAGAAATTATTACGAAATTAGCAGAACAACGGTAGATGAGCATTTTATAATAAGAGGTAAAGTTGATTATTGTAGCTGTTGATGCTACTGCTCATTACAGTTATGATTGAGCACAAAATGTTCACGTTCCACATTCAGATCAACAGGTAAGTAAGATTTATTATCTTAGTCCGCGTAAAGTACATTTATTTGGTATTCAATATGAAGCAGTACGCGAACAAATTAATTACGTTCTCGATGAAGACGAAATTATCGGCAAAGGCCCTAATGGCACGCTAAACATGATGTTTGATGGAATAAAGAAATTGAATAAAGCGAAAAACATCTAAAGATTACTTGCGATAATACAGGTGGACAGAATAAAAATAATGCAACTATCTGGTTTTATTTGTATTTAGTAATTTATGGTTATTACGAAAGTATCGAATTAAATTTCATGATACCTGGTCATACTAAATTCAAATGTGATGGTAGTTTCGGATTGATTAAAAAGCTTTATAGAAAAACAACTGTAAATTACGTAGATCATATTGTTGAAGTTGTGAAAAAATCGAGTACAGCGGAATTAAATAAGGCTCAGCGTTATGACAACGGAAAAGCCTTTCAATATTTAGATCTCAATTCTGTGTTGGGGATTTCTTTAAGAAACTGAGTGGTTTACAAAAATATCAGCATTTTCTATTTGAAGCAGCTAATCCTGGAGTTGTCAAAGCATAGTCTCGATTATCATAGCTTTTACCTAAACCCAGATGCAATGGATTGGATTAAAAATCGTAATGGATTTAATGGATTTAATGGATTTGTCGTGTATTGGGTTGATACTGACAGAATCAAAAGCATGAATTATTGAGATCTAGTTTCTGAAGGAGACGATTTATGGAGGAGGGTGGTAGTTGCATCAAGATGTACACAAAATTTACGAAGATTTCGTATATGGATATCAATTGTCGAATTCAAGGCGAATTCGATCCGAATGGAACAGTCATGGTGGAGCGGCTGTGAGGGTTCATGGCAGAATGCCATTCCCAGTGCTCGATGGTTTGAACCTATTCGACACCTTCAACTTGATGTTAAGACAACCAAGGCGGCAGATCTTATAAACAGTTATTGTGTTGGCGTTATTTATTTTCATAATACAAGTGGCTCTCGATATGAGAAAGTAATCGGGACCCAACAAATTCCTTTCTTATATCGAAAATCTCTTATAACGAAAGTCATTTATTATGAGATTTTAAATTGGGTCCAGCAAAAATACTTTCTTATATCGAAATTTTCTTATATCGGAGGGTTCTTATATCGAGAGCCACTTGTAATAGTTGACTAAATAGCTATGGAAATTGTAATCAAAAATGTCATCATAAACATAAATGAAACTATAATAATAAAATAATGATTTGTTTTTGTTTATGACATCCGGTGCGTCTTTTTTGCAGATCCTCTCTATCTTACTCGATCTCTCTGTATAGGATACAATTTCAGGCACGCGAGACATTTTCCCGCCTCTTGTAATTGCAACTTTTTTATTCGATCTCGCATCGTAATTTTTCATTTGCTTTGACTCGCTCCTCATGCTCTCTAGTGATCTCTCGTATAAATTGACCGAATGTTTTTCGGTATATTCAAGCAATTGTTGACATAAAATATCTTTAACCGACGATTAATCTCCTCGTGATCACATGTGCAGATCGGAGCAATTGTGTCTTGAGTTGTCTATATTATATGATAGTGGTGATGAATTTTGTCGCTGGCGTTCTTGGACCATGTGATGCACAGTATTCGATTGACAAACATTGCATTTTTATAATTTTCCAATTGTTTTATTCAATTACCCACCAATAGCTTTCATAAGACAGCTGAATTTATATAGAGAATGTACTTTTATGTTCAAATTATTTTATTATTATCTATTCAATAGAACAAGTTGAAATCATCAATAAACTTTTTTTTGTTAAAAATGACAAGTAGAAACCATTTCATAGTGAAGGAATGTGAAAGACTCGGGTGGGTCGTGTATGTAGTGGTGCGCAGTGGTGTGTAATAAGTGCTACTCGCTTATCGATATCATTGTTACGGTCCACTTTATGCGATAAGATGGAACAATCTCGAAACGGGCCAAACCCCAGAATGTATCAGAACATCATCACTATCATAGAGATTAGTTTAATTAAATTATACGTGTGGCTTATCGAACTTGTTAACCAATGAAAAACATTTACTGCGTGTGCTCCGGAATGTTACGTTGATTCTATTGTCCTCATTTACGGAAACAATCGTGACAAATGTAATGATGTGTTACACTAGGAAATATATTTATACTTATAAGGACGGTACGACAAGCTAAAAGCGCGAATACAACAACAAACCTTTGCCGCCAACCATCTTACGCACATGCGACAGTTTACCACAACTCACAAACAAGACCTCAAATAATGAACGCTTACAACACGATTTATCGACCACATAATGAGAAAAAATTAAGAGCGAACATTCCGGCCCTCCAAACTAACGTGTGGTACACAACTACACAACGCACACAAATCTGCTTTTCCATTATTAATGTATATCGCACCGAATAGATTTAAGGGTAACAATGTGATAACAAAAGTTGTTATTGTACGTTTATTAATTTATTCACATAGCAACAAAAGGTATCTTTTTGCCTTCACAAATAGCCAAGCTAACTATTATAATATCTATTATACGCTTAGAAGTTACATACGAGCGATTTCAAAAAGATATCCCGACACGTAATCTTGTTCTCATTCTTTTGACAATAGCCCAAAGATTCCGATTGGGGGTTTAAGTCTGGACTATTGGAGGGCAAAATCATTCATGCGGCTTAGTTTGGAAATTTTAATAATATTATTTCCTTTCAGCTCGCCTATCTATTGATACTACTATACCGCATTTATGAAGGTTTTTTTGTATCAAATTACGCCACAACTAAAGATTTGTTACAAGTACCAGATTGCTCCCTTCCAGTTTGCCAAAATCTTTAATGGTCATTTCAAGCTCCTCTTTGAACTTGACAGTAATAGTCATGTACTTTATAGCAAGAAAATCGTTATTTAAAATGTCACGGCTGATGCTGAAATCCGGCTGAAGCTGAAACCATGACCTTTCATTGGTTGATCAGATTTTATTCTCTAACCCCATTGGTTAGTTTCAGCTTCAGCCGGATTTCAGCATCAGCTCCCACATTTAATAAATTAACATTTGAAACGATCCACGTGTAACGCTTAGTTGTTAGATCGCAAAAAACATTATACACGTAAATAGGTAAAGATCGTTCGAAAGGTGGGTCATTCTTATATTATACAGTACACTACCCTACTATAAATTACGGGATCACACAAGGGAATATTTTATTTGCATGGTGTGATAGATGAAATTTCTCTTTTCGATTCTTAGCAGCATAAAATGCACGAAAAGAGCTTTCAAGCGAACAGCGTGAGCGTATAATCGGCGCATATCTTAACAAAGTGAAGCAAAACGTCAATTGAACATTCCCGCTAGTACAGCGAATAACACAATTAAAGATATGAGCAAACGCACTCTACTACTACCATACCCAAGAAACGTCCCGGGCGCCCAGAAGCGCTTGCTGACCGGGATAGAGGGGTTCTACAACGCATAGTCCGAGAGGATGGGTTTAACTCGCTCCCGTTCTGACAGGTAAGTTAAATTCTAGTCTTAAAATTACAATACATATTAACACTGTTAGAAGATATCTACACGATGACGGATTCAAAGTTATGCTGAGTTTGTTATAACGATAACAAATTTTTTCGTTTCCCGTTGATCAGAGAGAGACATGTTAGTAGTGAGTGATACTCAAAAAACAAACAAAAAAAAACTAACATTTAAAACTAACTGTATTATCATACTTCTTAAGATGACTCCTCCGTTTCTTAGTATCCATGTATCGAATTTTTTCCCAATTGGACAGATAATTCATAGATCGCGAAATTGTACAGTACGACTAACGCAATAGAGATAATATTATCCAAATTTAGTATTTCGCCTTCATGACGTAGTTGATCTCCTTGCCTAACTTTGATAACAATATATTACTATATTTGTCGACTGTCCTAATGTGGAGTGCGACATAAAAGTTCTCCAGGTAATCCCAACTTTGTCACTAGTGTTAATGTGTCAATGAGACGTACTGTTACATAGTACTCCATGCTTTCATTGCTGTAATGAAGTTTGCTTGCATCATGCTTATATTTATTGTATCTATACGACGTATAAAGGATGGTGTCTGATTCAATAAATCACTTTGATCTTCTGTTTTTAACCAAGACAATTGTTTCTGCTGTTCATGTCGATCACTCGTCACATTTTGGTCATTGTTCGAACTTGATATGCAATAGCAATAGGTGTTACACTAGTTTCTAAGAAAGAAACCACGTGTCAATGTCTCGATAAAGTTTCCAAACACGCATTGTACCATTACAAACTTTTCATATTGATCACAATTCTTAGAATAAACACATCTACCTCTTCACAGGAAGTCTGAGTAATACAATAAAAATAGAATTACAATATGGTACCAATGCATAGTGGTGAAAGTCAACGTTCAATCCAAAACTCATAACTAGTTAAAGCGATCAATCGAGAATACGGCCAGGTTTTAATGTTGGGATTTCCTTTTCATTTACTATTACTATTTACTATTTTAAATTTAAATCACTATTATAAAACGCTCCTATAGTATAATGTTGTTGAAAATAATCTAAGCTTGCTACCGTTGACATTTTAGTGTTCACGGAATTAGAGAAAACTTGAATCACATGAAAGGATAGCATTGTAAACAAAGTATCATTTTCATTTTACACAAACATTAAAAATTAAAAATTGGAAAAGTTACACATACATGGATTACACAGATATATTTTGTCTTTTTGCACTGTATGTAATAGTAGTACATATAATATGAATCAACGGATCTGCGCTTTAACGTCAAATACGGAATCACGCTTCCTCTCTCACTTGCCAATGTTAAATATGTTCCAAGATCAAAGGTTTCGTTGCCTGCACTCGTATCAATATTCTTATAATATATATTAACGGATCTGCGCCTTAACGTCAAACACGGACTCGCGCTTTCGCTCTCGTCTTCCATTGTTAAATACGTTCCAGAATCGGAGAGTTTCATCACCCGCTCCCGTGACAATATTCTGACCATCTGGCGATACTGACAGGTAAAGGACACGCAAAGTGTGCCCTTTTAGCACTGCCAACTGCTCCATCGATGGATATGACCATAAGATGACTTGATTCTGTGAGTAGCCATGAGTTGATACAAGTTCATTGGCGTGTTTGGACCAGGCAAGGTTACAAACCTAAAAGAAGGCAGTTACGATTTTTTGGTTAATAATCGAGAACATGGCGATTTCCTCCACCAACGTCTGATAAGAGTACAACTCTTATGTACCTGTGACTCTGTATCATAACTCTCAAGCACGTCGCCCGTGAGCGTATTCCAGAACCGTATGTGCTTATCTTGTGAACCACCACCACTAGCTAACAATCCATGTGAATGTGGACTCCATGCAATGGCTTTCACTGCAGCAACATGCTGTAAAAATTTATGTACTGGAGCAGTATTTCCACGTTCCCATACCATCAACCTATTATCGTTGCCTCCACTGGCCAACTGAGTTCCTTCTGGATTCCATCTCAGCCCGCATACCTGCCCATATGTAAATCCTATTAGAAATATACGCGAGACGTCAAAATTCAAAGTTCGAAAGGCTAACTCTGTCGATCTTACCTCTTGTTTGTGCCCATTAAGTATGGAAAGACAGTCATCTTTTACTCTTACATCTCTATTGTATATTTGTCTGTCGCGGCTCCCTGAGCTGACAGTACAACCATTCCAAGCAATAGCTCCTGATAGATAATTACGTCATTAATAAAATGCATCACTGAGTCACGTCACACATCTTATACAAATAGATAGTTAATTACCAACTCTCGATGAATGCCCTTTTAGTTTCCTTATTCTCTTCGACCGCTCTACATCCCAAATTTCCACGGGTCCTAAATTTGTACCCACCGCTATGTGCGTGCCCTTGAATACACAAAATTGAAATAAGTAACTGCAGTTCAATCACGGAAAACATACAAGCTTGCTTTCTAATAACTTACTGATGCCATCCAGCTTACAGACGTTACGCTATCTGTATCTGTCGTAGATAAATCGCACAACTTTACTACCTGATATGAATAAAATCACGCGAAATACACAGATTGACTCGTTAAATAAACATTAGGCATACTCTAGTACAGATTCGTTGAAAACATTATTCACACAATACCTTCGAAGTCACCGCGTTCCAAAGATAAACACAAGGACCTAGTCCTACACCGAGAATATTGTTCGAAGACCAATCTACCAGATTCAAATAAAAGTCGTCCTGTAAATCCGGCGCGTCCAGTACCTTGTATGGGAATTTACTTATGTATCTAGGAGGCTTCCGAGGACTTGTTAATATGATCTGAGCTTCATATGGAAGGGGACTCGTGGAATATGCTTCACGATAGGGTGAATCAACAAAAACGGTATGTTTCCTTCGTGGTGATCGAAATGAAAGTAGGTTGCTAGATGGTGATAACGGCTGGCTTTGGTTTATACGTCGAATTATATCATCTGATGTGTCTCTCAATGGGAACATCGATGATTCTAGTACAGCTCTATAAATACGATCATCTTCTTCTGTATACACCAATATAACGCGAAAAAAAGCATATTAGATTTAGTTGTAATTAGAGGAAGATCAACAGAATCTTAAACATACCTTGTTGTGCTTCATCCTCAATTAAAGATGCAATTTTGCGTTTTTTTTCGTTGGGCGCTCGAGGAGCTATTAATCTCTGATACTCTGCCACAGGATCTCCAGTCCTTATTGGTATGTATCTGTATTAAGAATATAAGATCAATATGGTTCAGATCAGTTTACCTACAACCCAAGTAATTAGATAGATCACAGTCGTACCTACCTATCTGCATACTCGACAATCGTCCTCTGACGAGGGCTACTTGGCAGCGCAAAGCCGCCGTCATTATTAGAACTCGATTGTGGTGGGACATAGAAGGGGTTGTCTAAGCTGCTCATAGTTTGCTCTGTACTAGACTTTATTGATACCAAAAGTCTTTGCGTTTGTTTACGGTCTGATGGTTGTATGCTAACTGTGTTTGACAAAACTGTGCAATTTCCCTTTTTAGACTCGAAAGACGATCATCGATCAATTATGTAATATTAACATCCAATAATATCCAGGGGCTGTGTGTTACGTTAGTGCTAAGATTTTCATTAATGTTATTATTATATATCTCCCCACTTGTATCCCAACCTCAGTTATATCCCAGCTTTGATGCTAGACGGATTCCCTTATTTTAATTCCATATAAATATACCTCAGTTATATCCCACTCAGGTATATTCCTATCCCCAATTTTTTCCCAATCCCAATTTCCCACCATTATGAACGTAACCTCGTTTGTATCCCCTTAATATTAATTATATTAAGCATGTCATCTCTATATATGAATATTTGTGTTAGAATATTGCTTCATTTGGTTAGTCACAATTCTCGATACAGAAAAAAATCTGGCCAAAGTCACTAATTCAACATCAAGACATAAATCAGGTCACATAATAAAATCAGGCCATACATTAAGCAATCAAAAATCAATTGCCAATTGTCAGTCTTATTAGCATTAAACCATTTGTCATTCTCCTTTTGCATTCATATGGATCAGACTGATGATATAGCTGAATTAGTTTTAGCTCTTGATAGACTTAGTATTATAGATAGTTTAACAGCAGAAGAGTATTAGTATGTTCAGATAGATAATAATTTGGTCAGTGCAGATAGATTTACCTACAGAAGAACTCATTGAAGAAATTCTTCTGACTGAAGGTGTCTTACAACAGACACAAACAGATATGGAAAGGAAGAAGCAAGTATCCATAAAGGTAGGAAGAGAAGCACTTGCAACGGTCAAGAAATTTTTAGAACAAAGAGAATTTGCAACAGAAAATTATATTAGATACACGTGCAATATAATTCGGCGCTTAGATGAATCAGTATAGAAAGGTCAAAACATCAAACGTCACATAGAATTTATTAACCAATAAAATTGCATGATATTATCTATTGAAACGCCATACCTTAGTTATATCCCACCTCAGATATATCCCCAAAAAGCTTGGGTCCCAACATGGGGGATATACTGTAACTGAAGTAGAACTGTAATAATAAATGTTACTACTAAACCGAACTTAGAAGTGTGCCAACAAAGATGTTAAGGTTCCGCTTTACTTATTTCCTAAATAAGTCAGTTGACGCAAATTAACTAAAACATTTGTTAATTATTATCTTCATAGTAGTTAACTACTAGAATAATAAATAAATTTCGTAGCAAAATATAATAAGTAATTTTGTTTCTTGAGTTTATATATGTATCTATTCCTTTAGCAGCAGGGGGCCCGTGCAGACCTAAGTATTTACAGAGTAAAGCAAGATTCATCACTCCATATTACTTTTCCCAATCATCTGCAGTCCATTCTCGACACCACTGTACTCGATCTTTTTTGGGTGAAATAAGTGGATTTCAAGCAGCAACTCGGCTATTATACCCCAATTCATACAAAGCTCGGTTTTTTCACGTGAATGTGTATTGATTGGTTCGTTTCTTGAATTGTCGCAAACAATCGCTCGATTGTCTATTTAATAATCAGGCAGTTTTGTTTACCGATTTTGCTTTTTCCAGTTACAGAATTTCGGCCATTACGTATTAGCGCGTCAGGTTTATGGAAAAATCTTTTCGTTTAAACACATAGGTGCTTGTTACAGATAACTTTAATCCTTCAGAATAAACGATATGGAGAAAGTTCAACGAGTGGTTCTTCAAATATTGTGTCCAAAATAAGCAATTCAAAAAATAAAGCACCAGAGAAAAAAAATATAACGTAAGACGCTGACTAGCCTCGAAAAAAAGTTCTTTGTATTAAAGCGCAAGAACATCCTAATTTTACGTTGGAAACTTTAGCAATCGAGTTTGGAGTAAAACCCAACACAGATTGTGATATTCTTGCAGAAAAAGAAATTTGGTTAGCCTTAGATAAAAATTCACCGCTTGCTAATTCTAAGCGCCGTAGAACTGTGTGACAACAAACTCGACATTGATATTACTTTCTTATCCAACTTAAGAAAGTTAAAGAGAATAATTGAGACTAAACATCAGAATACGTTACAGCAAACAAGTATTCTTTAGTTTATACTGTTGAATTGTAAGTCGAAAATTTGTGCAAATATATATATATAAATTTGGCTTAGTGCGAAATTTAGTAAAACGAAATCTCGATAAGCCGAATAAACTGTCTCCGCCCCCGACTTTCGTCTTATCGAGTTTGCCTTGTATATAAATTTTATCATAAAGCTGACACACTACAATTTTTGTCAATATGTTTTACACTAGATGCGCTAACTTCAGTATTAGTTTCACAGTAATTACATTGCTCGTTATGTCAATATTTGCATTTAATTGCAAATTGAGGGGTGTCGGCAACTATCGAATAGTACTCTAGATTCAAAATTCGATTTCTCAACGAAGAAGCAAGATATTCGGGTAATATTTTATAAATACAATAGCGCTTTTTTTGCACTTTTAAATGAGTGTAACTCAGTGTAAATTAATATGTAGATTAATTTTTACCGATTTTTTAAATATTCGTGTCGCATAACCTAATTTTACCTTTTTCGTAGGATAAAGGTCGGCTCTAGGTAAATTCGTAATTTTACTACTTAACATATTGCGCTATACGTCAATATACTCTTAAAACTTGAAGTAATCATATCCTAATATCAAATCATTAATTAAGTTAGCACCACACTACCACTGTATGTTGTACAAAATAGCTTGGGCAAAAAAAAAACACTTACCCGTAACATCCAAAATTTAAATTGGCAACTCTTTGAAAAGCAAGAATGCAATTGTTGGATGGGAGAACATCTTCTCAAGTTTGAAATAGTAGATGGCATGCACATACTATATACATATAAGTTGTGATCTACAAGAATTTATGAATGGAAAAACATAAGTATCATAATAAATTTATCTATTACTATTCAGCTCATAAAACTTACCATATCAGATATATTTGTACACTGTACACTTTTATCCTCCTAAATTTTTCGAAGTCGCCTGGGTATTTGATATATAGATAATTTTTATTTTAAGCATCTTTGCTGTTTTGTTCTGATCCCCAACATAGTGAGTATGATCAAGCTTTGATGGAGATCCAGAGACCTCCAAGGTCGAGAACTCTAAGCCCATATCTAAAATTGACATGATTGCATTGATTTTATTCCCATAACACCATCTATTATCATCTATTATTGATCAGTTGAGTACAATGGCAGAACAACACAAGGTCTTTTCACCCTGTTGAAACATCAACCATGTATAATGTGCCTAATAAAGACCTCGAAACCTCAACCATGTATAATGACTAATGGGTATGAAAAAGCATTACCTAACACATCAAAACTATTTTAACTTACCAGTTACATTTCAAAAGTGTTCTATCTTTGAATAGCATTATAGACATGAGAGACAAACCTATAATCATATTCAGTTTGATCTTCTTTGAAGAGATTTCTGCATTTGGGAACTGTTCCTGGCCATGATAACACAAAAGTTCAATGAGTTCAATGTTAGCACAAATTCAATTACAAAACAGAAATCATACAGGATATTTACAATATTTTCATCAACTCCAAAGACTGCTTCTTCCATCTTATATTTCTCTCTCTGCATAACTTTTCATGTTCTGTCTTTATTGCATCACATAACCCTTTCACAGTATTCCGATAAAATAAACATAATAATAAATGGTCCAGGAATTTTTTTTTCCTCAATATTGGCTTATAAAAAACCAACAGCAAATCAAAATCTACTAAACATCTCTACCACAATTTTCAATTTTTTTGTTTAATATTGCCTGATGTCTTCTGCCTGACCATCTTGATCCATGTCTTGATCAGCTAAAGAAATAGAATCAGAATCTGATGTTAGTATAGTTTTATTTGGCTCAGACATCAAAAACTTCTCAATAGTGTTTATGATATTGTCTCACTGATATTGAAGATCTCTCATGCTTTTGTCCCGGATGAACTACTGGTGTCAATAATATTGTAGCACATTAAACTGTAAAATAAAGTTTTCATTAAAATCAGTATCTAAGGCATATAATCAATCACATTAATGAGATATAAAAACAAATATACATACTCTTGCTTGTGTATTTCTTCGACATATTTTGACGATTTGCACCATTTCTCCGGATACATACATTGTTAAATTTAAAATCAACAGTCACACTAGGATTTTCTTGTAAAGATTGTCTTCTAATTCTTCTTCGGGAACACCAGGTTCTAAAGTAATGGTAAGTTCCTCATTATCGCGGTTATTATTCATGTTTTCGTGACCTTGATCACGTTGAGAGACCGGGAGAAAAAATTCATCTATTTTCCCGTCCATATTCGAGTTTATTTTCGTCCTTTTTAATCGATCTTTACGCCCGTCCTAAAAGATAAATACAATATAGTTAGTTTTGCTGATTCTCAATAGATAAAAAAATGCCATCGGTACCTTTTCCTGATCCCTCTTCTTTGATGATTCGGCAATGAAAATTCCACCGGCTATGGCTTCGTTTACATTAATGGTATTCTCTCGACTTGTATTTACGTTATTCCCTCCACTTATGAATATCGGGTGATAAAAGTTAACTTGAGATTCATTGGCTGATTTATGTTCCTTCTCCCAATCTTTTGCTAAATCGTCTTAAATATCACGTTTTCATTTATTCCGCCCGATTTTCATCCCGCCAGGCAAGATCGAAGATGTAACAACAGACAAGCTCGTAGGGGTCATCTGTGTCCTGGAGGGGCCAGTAGTGTCAGGTCGGCTCGTAAGACTTGAACACAGGTAAGTTCGTAGGGTCACCTGTGCCCCAACACCAACTTTGTGGCTCGGCTCATAACTTGAATGATAGAGAAGCTCGTAGGGCCTCCACACGCCAAAAAAGAATTACAAACAGGCAAGTTTTTGTGGAAAATTAATCAGCTGTTGTGCCTTTTCATGCCTTCGGCCCTCCTCTGTATCGGTGATTAACTCAAGAGACGAAAGGTAACACTTTATTTTGTTTCTAAATGGTTCGATGTTGCATTCACCGAGGAATCCAATAATATTCCATTCTGACACTTTTCGTTCGAAATATTTATGTATTTGCTTTTAGATATATAAAAAAAGGTGAAAAGTTATCATTGTTAGGCTCGCAAAAAACCGAAAAGTTTGTTCGTACAACTTTCATACTTTAGGTGCGGTGCTAGACGTAGACATGATTGCAATTTTTTTTTTACCAGGATTAGGGTATATATTAACTGATATACTAATACATATAATTGGTAGTAATTGTGTCTTCAGACCACTCAGTCCCCTATGTGATCCGGATGCCTCTGAATATGTGTATAGAAGCCGGATTATAAATTATATTTGGGAGGCACTTTTCTTTGATGTAAATGTCATAGCCATAATGAAGACGTAAGTAAATTCATTTTGGGTTGACTTTCTAAGAAGGTTTTATATTTATTGTTATCTGTATTTATTTTAATCAGAGGTGAAGTCGAAAATGCAAACCAAAAAAAAACAACTGGACCTATCAAGAAATTTCGATGAACGTAAATCAACTCTTGGAACTTGGCATCATGATGCTGTTCTAGTCATGAAAGTTGGAAACAAGTTGGTTCAAGTAGCATTTGGGGAGGTAATTGGAAATGCTTCAAACGTGATGACAAGAACGTAATGATGATAAAGAAAAAATGCTTAAGGTAAAAAGCATAATCTCAATATAACTTTAATTATAATCATTTTTGTTAAAATTACTAATATGATTATTTTTATCTGTAGCTATGCAATTGACTCTCTTTAACCTTCGAAAATCATTGCCTGAAAAGGCTTCAGGCCTCGAAGATTTGGAAACTTTTGGATTACTTGTAAATAGTATGTAATGTCTAGCTTATTGATTTTTTAATATAATGTTTATTAATCTCAAATATACTTTAATAATTTAGGAAAAGAATTTTTTATGTATTCGATGCATTGGGTGGACGGGATATATCTAGTACTAGTTGATCAATTTCGATTCCCGATACATCACTAGATCTAGAGAAACGGCGAGCTGATCTGATGAAACAGATAAGTCACATGGTAAAATCTTCCTCCGCAGTCAAACAACTCCTCCACCTCCCCCAATCTATTGCCAGATTTGGCAAACTACTTTACAGAAACTTGCATTTTTTAAAAATGTCTTGATGAGATTTGCAGGACATTGTGCTGATAACCATGTGACATTTACAATCAGAAAATCAATCAAACATCGTCGTGAAATTGCTAAATTTCTATTAATATTCTGGCGATCTTGTCACAAGATTCTGCTAGATTGTAAAATTTCCATGCATCCCCGAAATCTCGTGCACATCTTCATGATACACTAAAATTAGAATCCTCATGGCGATCTCATTACGTGATGCCTGTTAGATAGTGGTGATTGTATTCTGATGTCACAGAGAGATTTATAAAAACTACAGGTTTCTGTAAAGTACCTACTACTAAATATAAACAGGTACGCACAATATGCCGCAGGGACTTGCATTATCATATCTGGTTAATAATAAGCTTTTGTTAAATAAAATTAGTAATTGAGATAGCAAACGGAAAAGTACTCCCTTAGCCTTTGTTAATATGTGAAAATATATAGAGCAGTATACTATCACTGAAAAAAAGCGTAGTCACATCATGGTTGACCGCAGTCATTTACGTACGGACATATAAAGTCCCCGCTATCCATGATGAATTTTCCCGACTTTCAACCTAATACCTAAGCATCCGCTTGCGCAGGGAAATATCCGCTGTAATAATACACGTTTGAGAGAAAAAAATCATACTTACCTAAAAATTAACCTAAATAGCCGTGATAATAATCTGAAATGATATTATTATGGGAAAAGCGGAATAACGCGGTGAAGCGGCGGATGCACGGAAAAGCAGCGGATAAATACTCAATTATGCAAAAAATTATGATTTGTCACTGTTAATTAATAAAATTAACAAAAGCAATAAATGCCAAGCTCATAAGAAGTTCGGAAAGAGCAAGTCAAATTCTTGAAGACACACCCAAACCCTCGTCTTTGTGGAGTTCAAATATCGAAGAAGGTTAACGATTATGGTTTATGTTTGGACAACGCGTTACGAGATGCTCCTGACTCGGGAAAGCTGTTGGATTTACGAAAAATTTTTAGTGGTACCTCTAAGACTAATGAAGAACATTTTATCATGGGATGGATCTGATTTATTAGTAAAATTTCCTTTATAAAAGAACATTTTGTGTAGAACGTTTATATTTGCTTATATTTACATTTACCTCTGGCTGGGAAATCTTTACTATTAAGAATTGGAAGAATCCCACCACCCTTAGTTACAATTACTGAAGCATATGAGCATTGAAAAAAGTCGTTAGATTTGAAGAGCAATCGACAGATGAAAATTTCGGTATAGAAAAAAAGTAGTTACTTAGAAGAAGACTATATAATTATGAGAAAAAGGCCTATTGCTAATTGTATTAGTATGTTTCATTTTGCATAATTCTTTTTTTTGTATGTAATTCGCTTTGGGAAAGTTAGATTTGGTTTTCGTTCGATCTCATCGACAAAGTTTTACAATTGGTACAATTTGATTGGCTGATCAAAGATATTTGAGACTGGCATAGTAATAGTACTTTTTGGTTAGCATCCGTTATAGGCTTTATCGAGAGATTACTAACAAAATCCGGTATATTTTATTAGTATTGGATTTATTCCATGAAAAATCTCCATACTAAGCGATATCCGTTATATCGAGTTTCACTGTGTACTGAGTCCACAACGCTATAGTCAAACTCCATGTACTGCTTTAGTAGCCCGAAGCTTATTGTAGAAGTATCGTTAAAATTTGCCATCTCGAAATTTTAATATTGTTGTATGTCAGTTTAGAACGGACATATGTCAGATTGGAATAGCAAAGACAATCCGGTAACAGTACAGCATTATAAGAGTACTCGACGGTTGCATAAATAATAAAGAGCTACGTGGAATGCATATTCTCTTATTGATTGGACAACATAATAGTCTATAAAACGTCGTAAAAAGCTCTTCGAATAGTTCGATTTGAGATGTCTATAAATTTCATTAATATTACATTCGTTCGAACAGTACAATGAAATAAAATGCATGTTTGCACATAGTATATAGCAGCCAATATTTGATTAAAAGCACCATAAGCCATGTGGATGGTGGCGATGCGAATTTAGCTATACGAAATCGTTTAGTTTGTTTTTCGTGCTAAATAAGTTCATTGGTAAAAAAGCTTCGGAGTAATCGACCAACTGCATCTGGAGGCTTTCATATCGATAAACGTTTGGGGCTCATTTAATATTACTGTGTCAGGAAACTGACAATTGAAGGCACATGCATTTTGAACGCAAAAGATACTCAATGTATCCGTTTGTCAATGAGCCACAAAAGTAGCTAACAATATTCTCTACAACATGATTGTAGATATCCATCAATAGGCGTCTAACTTATACAGTTAATTGACAGTACTGGTGTGCACACAACAAACTAGTGGCTTAGCATGCGATAGAACAAGCTGGACGAACTGTATTCGTACATTCCAGTCAGTTGAACACTCTTATTCATCGACATCATGGTAACAACAATAATAGTAATATAGCTACAAATAATGATAAGACAAGGTTCGTGCTTACTTTTGTAATACCAATTTGTCGCAAACGAAAAGTCGTTAGAAAAGGAATTGTGACATTCTAATTCCATATGTTGGTTATACAAAAAGCAATACGTACGACTATGTGTCTTTGGAAATAATCGATGCGAAATTTTGGAAAATACTGTCCGGGGATATGTCTATTAGTAGCTTTCCCATTCTACTAACTATTATAGACAATATCAGTTAATTTATCTTACACTGGGCTATTATCGTATATCCCCGAAACCCACCAATCAAAATAAAGCTATTCCTTCGCTCATTGTCGTGGGTGGAGATGTCTTATTTTTGATATTGGTATTATCTTCGGTAAGCCGACTTAAGAGTAACTATTATAATAATAACAATGGCGCTATTTATAAATTATGACAGTCGCGATATGATGTAATATTAATATTACACTAGGCAATACATCGATACCCGTTTGTGCTTTACTATTGGTTGGCAGTAATCGATGTGGCTGATTCTCGTATCACTGATGCAACCATCGCGCTGTTAGTGTCATTCGCTATACTACATAGATTACGTTGATATCATATGGGTGCTTTGTTATAAATATCATCGGGATCAGTTTAATTAAATTTATACGCGTGACTTATCGGACTGGTTAACCAGTGAAAAATATTTTACTGCGTATAATCACAGATTCTGTTGTTCTTATTCGCGGAAACACGCGACAGTTGCAATATGATGTAATGATGATACCCGCTTATGCTTTACTATCACGCTGATATCATATTGCAAGGGTGCTTTGTTATCAATATCATCGAGATCAATTTAATGCGTGACTTGTCGGACTGGTTAACCAGTGAAAAATATTTTACTGCGTGTAATCACTGATACCATTGTTCTTATTCGCGGAAACAATC